CTTCTTCCATGTGGGCTTTGTTGCTTCTCAGCTAGATGGTTGCTTGTTTATCTTCAAGCCTTTAAGACCCCAGATGCTATATCTTTTGATAGCTTGACAACATCAGCTTTCTTCACTGCATTTGCTTATGCAGCCACTTCTTGACTATGATCTTTTATTAGATTAAGAAAACCTGCTCCTTGATTTCTGAGAGGTTTCTAAATGATTTGTAGTTTAATTTTATCAAATGCTACATTGTCTATAGGAATTACCATATTCTCTCTGTATATTTTAATGTTAAATCTATCTGGTAAATAAACCCTAATTTGTCAGAATGTGTTATTTTTATTTTTGGATTTAATAATTTCTGTTTTCCGGGAAAGTTTGTAATCTACCTAATTTTAGGAAAATCTGGGAGCAAACCATTCTAGTCCTCTTACCAGAAAACAGTTTTAGGTTTATCACTGTCTGGTGTATACTCATTGATAAATTATTATTTTAGGTTTCTTTCATATAGCAAATAAGGAAGAAGACAAAAGTAGGAAGATTTAAATATTAATAAAAAGACAAATTTCAATCTTACATTATTTATATTCCATTTTTGTAGTCTCCACTCCCTAAAATTGCCATAAATTACAGGATATTATCTGGGCCATAATAATGATACTAATTACTCTATTCCCAGTGGAACATTAATTAGCAGTGCACTTTTAATCACCACTGAACTAGCAATCTTCTCTCATATAAATATTTTTTGTTCTAGTACACTCAGCAGACATGTAATTGATGTACATATCCACAGTATAACATATCATTTAAATGGTCCATGTCCCTGTGTACCTAAAGAGAAAATAAAGAACTACATTTGGGAAGTCAGGCATTTGAAATGCATTCCCAAAATAGAAACTATAAGAATAAATGTTTACACTATTGATCCTAAGTTTTGCATTGTCCAAAGTAAATTAATGTTCAAAGTATCAGGGATCTTCAACCAACATTATATAATGTAATACATTGTATACAATTGTTTTATTGTAAACAAAAAAATTACATTGTTTTATTTCTTTGGTTTTCTTCAGTGTCTCACATCTGAAATATTTATCCCACCTACACTCTTGTCTAATATGTTAGTCTGGGTACTTTAGAGGAACAAATCCACATAGACTCATTTATAAGAGAGAGTTTTATATAAAAGTTAAATGCACATCAAGAAAACATCCCAACCCAGTGCTACCCAAGCCCACAAATCCAACATTAACCCACTAACCCATATGTCCATCACCAATCCACAAAGTCCTCTTCCATCTCACAAAACAGAGGCAATGATGCTGACTGCTGGAGGAAAGCCAAGTCAGTGAAAACATGTAAACATCTCAGCGCTGGAAAGGGTCTCCACACAGGTGCTCCAGGACCCAGGGCTGCATCGGGGTATGTCCATGTGGCTTCTCCTCAGGGATGTCTTGCAGCAAGTGAGCCTTACCAGCTAAAGCAGGGGACTGGCTAAAGCAGCTGTACCCTGGTCCGACCATCAGAAATCAAGAGACCCGAAAACTAGAAAGGCGAGGCTCACTGAGCCATTTATCCCTCCACCCTTCAATTAACCACACATGTGTTTATCAGCCAGGTTGGCACAATAGACTACCTCAATCCATCTCTTGCCAACTTGGCACCTATACATAATTCTTTAGCTTCACAATTACAATTAAGTAACACCTATTACTTAATCCTTTAATCCTGTGAATATGTCCCCCCACCTAAGATAGTTTGTAAGTCAATCACTTCATGCCTTTATCCCCTCAATTTTGAGTCTCCAATTTATATACTGCCCACTTACATCAACCCAGTTCTCTGAGAAGGCAATCATATTTTTCGACATGAAAACTTTCATTCCAGTTGGAACCTTGTGAAGTCTGCATTCATAAGCAGAGACAAATCTGTACAGGCCATCCATAAAGTCAACAACAATATGCACCAGTTCACAAGCTCAAAAAACTCCATCTGGTTGGGTTCTGGTCAACTCAATGTGGGCTGCCTCACTCAGCCTCCACAGGATGCCCATTGGTTGCCTTGCTTTTTAGACCATGTGCTCTCACCAAAATTCAACAAGGCGAGCCCTCATGCTGGGTCATGAACTTTAGACCAGTCAACCAGCTCTCATCTTCTCCATTTTTTCTTGTAGACCAAGTCCACAGGTGTCAGTGGCCAAACTCAACCTGTCTCTTTATTGCTGCATTTCTCCCACTTCCACTCAACAAGTAGATCCAGATGGTCACCTAGCAAGCATTTTAGCCTGCTCTCAGGCTCCCTTTAACATTCAGTCTTAGAGGGGAGTTTTCTTCATGGTTCCAGATTTTTCCAGCTTCTGACAAAGACTACTGGTTCCTAAGTACACCAAAGCACTGGGTTGGGCATACATTTTCAAAGCTTTTTTTGCAGACATGGCCTAAACCCATCTAAAGATCACATTTTAATGGCTGAACAAAAGTGGGCTTACAAACTTTCTATTTTCCTACTTCCCATATTTTCCCCAGAAAACCACCGAGTAAGCAGTATGGCTTTAGCTGACCTTTGGCTAGACAAGAAAGACTATCATGAGGGAGAGGTCAAACAAACATCTACTCTCCATCTTGTGATTTGTTTCTCCAGTACCCCACTCCCAAGGTACCATAATGTGTTAGTCTTGGTACTTTAGAGAAACAAATCCACAGAAACTCATGTATAAGAGGGAGCTTTATATAAAGGGCAAGTGCACATCAAGAAAACATCCCAACCCAGTGCTGCTCAAGCCCACAAGCCCAACATTAACCCATATGTCCAACACCAATCCACAAAGTCCTCCTCCATCTCACAGAACAGAGGCAATGATGCTGACTGCTGGAGGAAAGCCAAGTCAGTGAACATGTAAACATCTCAGCGCTGGCAGGGGTCTCCACATGAGTGCTCTAGCACCCAGGGCTGCATCAGGGAAGATCCATGTGGCTTCTCCTCAGGGATGTCTTGCAGCAAGTGAGCCTTGCCAGCTAAAGCAGGGGACTGGCTAAGGCAGCTGTACCCTGGTCCAACCATCAGAAATCAAGAGATCTGAGAACTAGAAAGGCGAGGCTCATGGAGCCATTTATCCCTCCACCCTTCAATTAACCCCACATGTGTTTATAGGCCAGGTTGGCACAATAAACTTCAACTATCTCAGTTTCGTTTAAAAGTAATTTTAAAAGAGCATATTTAAAGGACTGTGGGCAAAGGTATATACTTTACTGAGAATGTGTGAAGGAAGTTCTATTGTCCAACCTCTCCTTCTATAATTGAGTACAGCAGAGAATTGTCCAAGGGTGAGCAGAATTTTCTGGCTTCTGCTCATTTAGGGGTCAACATTAGTGCCAGAACTAAGGGTTTCTGAGTCCTGCATTGTTCTGAACTTTCAGCTGATGCAACTCTTTTGTTTTTGTTGCTTTCTAGGGCACCTTACTACACCTGATTACTATAAAGAAACAAAGCTCAGGGGGAAAGTATGTTACTTACAATTAGTAAGTAAACTCCCTGCCATCAATTCTGTTGGAAAGAATGAACGTGTCCCGTTGGGATGCTGAGATTGTAAATCTTTAGAAGAGCAGAAAGTCACCTTTCTCCCTGGGAGCAGTAGGTAGGGTCTAGCTGTTGACCTTGAGGTTAATAGCCCAAGGCACAACCTAACCCACCAAGGCTCCTTAGGTAAGTCATATAAAATAATATTGCAACATAAGGTCAAGGTTCTTCAACTATTTGGTGGAGGCCTCATCATTGTTACAATACACATTATATATTTCCAATAAGGAAAACTCAGGTTTGGCTTCTTACATATTTCTGACCATTCATGTGCCTCACCTTATTGTCCAGCTCCTGTGGAGGTCACCTTGATACTGTTAGGCAGGTCAGTCAAATGGCTTAGCAAAAGGAAATACTTCTGAAGAAGGTTTAATTCTTTTTTTTAGACACTGTTTTAAATCAGGTTTATTAAGGTGTAACTTACAATTACGTACAGTTGGCTGAGTTGTAACAAATGCATTGTCCAGGACCCTCGCAGCACAATCTTAGTGACTTACTGGATGTTTCCATGTCTTCACAACTCAGTCCATGCACAACAAAGGAAGAGTCATTTAAGCTACCTAACACAAAACTCACTGGGGACAAAAGGATAGAAGGTATAATACACAGCATGCTGCTTATGACTTGCAGCATAGCATTTTGAGAATTTTACTAATCCTTCACAACTGTTAGATTTTCCCACATTCTTGGTTGGATCAAACCACAGAATTTAAAGTCATCTTTATCCCTCAGTGAATGAGTCCCAAAGCTGACAAAAATAAATTAAGTCCTATCGGAGATTTCCCCAAAACTTCTAGAACTCAAGCTTTGCCAAGCTGAAGACATTGCCTTGTGGGCAATTGTAAAACCCACACAACTTGGGGTACAGTAAGCTTCTAAAGTGTTAATTTTTCTCAACTAAAATAAAATATACATTTGCTCTCACTTTTATTTATTTCTTGCTCATTAGAATGCAAAATTAAGCTTGGCATATAAATCCCAGATATGTACCATAGGTTTAGACTATTAGTTTTTTATTGCTATCTCCATCATAATTTTTATTAGGCTGCTCTAAACAAAAACATTTACAGCAAAGAATAGTAGCTTCAGCTAAAACAGTCTCTAGGATACTTATATAACAGTGTGTGGTCCAAATGAAGGCACTGTTTTATGATATTTGAAATTCAGATAACTTTATTTGAACTGAAAAAACATTCTTAGACCCTTCGTTACAAAAATGTATAAGAGTACTTCTAGGTAGGATAGAAAGTAGGATTTCTAGGTTAATAGATGACTTTGGACATTTCCAACAAATTTTAGAGGAGTGGTGAAAAATAGAGTATTTACAGAAAACACCATCTACATATGCACTCAGTGGTACAGATTTGGTGACAATGAATTCAGTACATGCTGGCATCTCAGAAGTTCTCAAAGAGCTTCATTTTCTTGGATTTTGGATTTTAAGTGGGTCTAAGATCTTCATCCTCAATCTTGGGAGCCAAATAGTACTTTAAGTCTCCCATATCAACAATTTTGCATTCTACAACAAAGGGTACATCTGCAGACATACTCAGTGTTGCTGTAGAAGAGAGTGGAGTGGGTTTTGTAAAGAAGTTCAGGTATCTAAGTGCAAAAGTTAGCTGAATGAGCTCATTCATCTCTATGGTTATAGCTTCCTCCTCTTTATCAATGTTACTTGTTTATGACAACTTAATATTCTCATTTCTGAGTTCTCCACTTGCAGAAAATTTCATTCCATCTTTCGCACAGAAAATGACAACAGCATCTCCAATATGACTGAGATCACGGCAGATACGTGCGAATTCACCAGAACGCATCTTAACTACTCAGCTATACTCCTGCTCTGGAATTCCAAGTTGTTCAACATCGGAATCCATCAACTTCATTTCATAGTCTGAAACGTTTTCTTGGTTTGGTGCTCCAAATATTAGTGCCAATGAGTCTGCATTATCTTCTGCCCTCAGTGTGATGATGTCTTCATTGGCAGCACACTTTAGTATCTTGGACATGCTGGTGAAGTTCACGCTGATGGCCAGATTGCGGTCGCAGCGGTAGGTATCTAAGAACTCGGAGCGCAGAGTGAGTTGCACCAGGGAGAAGTGAGACGAATCCATGCTCTGCAGGTTCACACCACTTGAGCTGATGTCCCAGAAGGCCTCGTTGATGAGATCCTTGAGAGCCTCCAGCACTTTCTTCCGAATGGAACCCTGGACCAGGCGCACCTCGAATATGGTAGCAAAGTCATAACGACACGGCTACAAAGGGTGGAATGTATGATGGTCTAACTGGCAGAGGCCTCTCAAGGAGCAGAGGACCAGAAGTTGGAGACAATCAAAGAGCAGGACCAGCCTCCTGCACCTGCAACCGTTAAATTGAAGGTCTAATTCTTTAAAGAACACCATCTTATCTTCCTACTTTTCTGAGAATTTTTATCATGAGTTGACTTTGGATACTTTAAAATGCTTTTTGGGCGTCAACTGATCTTATAAAACTCAACTCAGTGCCATCAAGACGATGCTGATTCATCGCAACTTGTAGGTCAGCGCTTCCAAGACTATCACGCTTCATGGGAGTAGAAAGTCCTGTCTTTCTCTCAAGTTGTGGCTCATGGTTTCTGCTCACCTTTTGAAACGCAGCCCAATGCATAACCACGATGCCATCAGGGCTCCTCCATCAATTGCTATGAGATTATAATACTGGTTTTTTAAGCATATGTCCCATTCACATCTCACTGCTTCCCAATCTCCCCATCCAGTGTAGCAAAGGCATCAGCATTTGTGTCCATGCTTTCAGGTAAATAACTACTGCCCCTTATTTCTTTAGAAAGATCACCATCTATTTTAACAGAAGTCGAGTGTTACCGGAGCTGTTGAGTTTTTGCTGTTGATCAAGTTTGTATTTTTGGCTCTTTGATTTTAAAGTGAAGATGAAGAAAATCTTCATCTCTAGTTTCTAAGAGGTTTTATTATGACTGGGCCTTGATTTTCATCAATTACTTTAACATCAGTGCTGAAATATGTGGGGGCTACATCTGTGCTCCTCTGGCTCCCAAGGCTGATTGCCACAAGGCAGAAGTCAGACATGCCCCACCCTCCATCTTTCCTTATTCTATTTGGACACCAAATGTCCCACCCAGAGCTCTCTTTATGTTTCACCTGGATACTATCATTTATTTCAACGACCACACAGAACTCACAGACAGTGCTCATGTACTGGGTTTCCTAGGGAAGTTAACAGATTTAGGTGATCAAAGCACAAGATATAGTTGTGCAGTCGGGACAGTTTCTGTGCCATGCCCTAGGGCAAACCTCTCTCTATTCCTTAGCCTTTTGGCCAGACAATGTGATAAGCTTTTGAAGGGCTGCCAATAAATGCCATGGTCTTGAACTCCACTATAAGCCTCAACATGAAGGCACTCAGTGCAGTCCTGTGGTAGGCAAACCTTGCTCCCTCAATTCAGTGCCCAGAAGCAGCTGAATCTAGGAGCCTACCTCCTGCCCGAAGGAACTTAGCTTAACTTGCTGTGGTCTGGTGAGTCTCCTGCTCTGTCTCATCATATGGTTCCTGCTGCTGCTGCTGCTGCGCCACCTCTTTTCTGGTGGCACCGCTGGCCCTAGGATCAATCAGTAAGGTTCAATACACAGATATTGGAGTTCAAAACACATGCTCCACTCTTGGCCAATGTCTTTGGCTGGTTGTAAGACCAACTCTTCATATTTCTGAGTTGGCTCACTTTATAACCAGCAGGATGGAAATCACAGTGAACATTAACAGTGACCCACAGCTGAATCATATATCCCAATCTGTATCTTCTCCCACCTTCTTACCCAGACTCATTCAGAATATTCATTGCACTGCCATCTACAAAAATGATCCTAACTTTTGGTTTTTTTCTTTTTCACTTTTTCTAAGAAGTAGTAGGTCAACCTGATATTAATGTAAACCCCAATAGATCATGATATTTTACTTTTTAATACATCCATTGCTTAAATTTTCTGTGATTTAAAAAATCAGATAGATATTTTTCTTTTTCATAGAAGGGAAAACTGTGTGTCCATGTAGGGGAGAAGTTGACAGCTTAAGTCCCTCCTTTCTCAACAGAAGACACATGATTTTTGCACATCAGTATCTGCAGCATACATTTCACTTTTAACAGTTTTATTGACATATAATTTACATATCATACAATTCAATGGTTTAATTATATTACAAAGAGTTGTGCAATCGTTACCACAATCAATTTTAGACCATTTTATTCTTTCTTTTATTCATGATTATCAGCTTCCCATTTCTCCCAACCTCCCCTGCCATAACACTAAAGAACTATTAATCCAGTCTCTATAGATTTACCTGTTCCAGATTTCATATAATGAAACATACAAACAACAACACGAAGCACCAAAACAATACTAACAATATCAAAATAAAATAGAGAAAAACCTCAGCTGAAATGAAAGCAAATATAATAAAAACCAGAAAAGATTCAAATAGGTCAAAAGGGAAAACAAATGATAAAATGATAGATCTTATCTTAACTACATGTCCATTAATCCACTTTCTAATGCACTGTGGCTGACAGTAAGGCTACTCACATCCCTACTCAATGGGCAGATGGAAGCTCAATCCGCATGGGTTTGGGGCGCTCACTTCATCCATAGCCTTCTGCAAACCATATGCTCAGAATTTAAGTTCTAATATCATTCCTTCCTATAGACTTGGATATTACTATTTATAATCTTTGGATGACAAAGGATGGTGTGCTTCTTCTGTGTGGACTTAGCTGAGTCCTCACTTAGATGGCTGCTTATTTTCAGACACGTCCACATGCTATTCTTCCTGATAGCTGGGCACCATCTGTTTTCTTAGCTACACTTTCACAGAATAAGCTTTATATCGAGGTTACTTTTAAACTCAGCTAATGAAGAAACTGTGGGGAACAGGGCAGGGATTTTTATTTACAACTTTTTATTCCATCTGTACAATCCAGTAGATTTAAGCCCTCAAGTACAGGATAGAATTATACTAACTACCCTCTTTTCTTTGGAGCTTTATCCATTAGTGCATTTGCAACGTTCACCATGCTGGCTGGTTTTTCACATATAAACATGTATTTGTGTGTACAGGCAACATATCCAAAATATGTATTGTATAAATAACCACAATTCTTATTGTGCATGTTGTCCGTGTTTCCTGTAAACCTGAAAGAGAAAATTAAGAATTACACTTATCAAGTCAGATCTTTGAAGCACATTGACAAACACTTAATTTCCCAATATGACGTCCTTGTTCCCAAGATTATATTTGGAAAATTCAAGTTGATGTTCTGAGTATCAAGGATGTCCAGCTTACATGTTGACCTAATAATACCTAATGTCAAAGCTTACATGTTGACTTTACATAATATCTAATGGCGAACACTTGCTAATTTTCCTCTACCTTTTCACATCTGGATTATTTGCTGTTTATTATAATTAAGATTAGCTTATCCACCCCCAATATATGATTTATAATAGTGCCATTGCATGAGATTTTCTTTTTTTTAAAAAACATTTTATTAGGGGCTCATACAACTGTTATCCCAATCCATACACACATCAATTGTGTAAAGCGTATTTGTACATCATTTCTCAAAACATTTTCTCTCCATTTAAATCCCCGACATTAGGTCCTCATTTTTCTCCTCCCTCCCCGCTCCCCCCTCCCACATGAGCCCTTGATAGTTTATAAATGGGTATTTTGTCATATCGCATGAGATTTTCTAAGTGATGTTTCCTTCTAATCATTTGCAGAGATTTTACTGTGCAGTGCTGAATAGTTAAAAATTAAGCAAAATAATTTGAATAAATGAATGACTAAATATTTATCTGCTAACCAGAAGGTTAGCAATTTGAAGTCACTCAGATGCTCTTTAGCTGAAAAATCAGCTATAGAATACCCTAGGGATCTCGGTTCTGCTCTGCATAGGGTCTCTGTCATTAGGAATTGCTTTGGCTGTAACTGATGAATGGTTAATACCAGATCAGTAATTTTGACTATGTATTAAAGACAAACTTATAATGCAAAAATGTTCTCTTTTTGAGATATGTAGACTCAATATTTGTGGCAGTGAATAATAATGAAGGCACCAAATAAGGCTCATGATAAATTTTCAAGTAATTTTCTTATGTGTCTTGACATAACATACTCGTCGAGGCAACTGGTTGCCAACTCCTTTCAGAAGTCCAATACTAGCACTTAGAATCACACTAAAATTAAATGTATATATGCATATATATGTATATACCAGCTAGAGATATATATTACATACGTAAAGGCTTATAGCTCAGGAGTAATAAATCCCAGCTGGATCTGTTATAATGTAAATTTTGTTAAGGAAGATAGGATAATCATCCAATAAACATATGATACTTTCTTTCAGATGGCTAGTCTGAGATAAGTGGGGACTCAGAGATACCAGGACACTTGTGAGAGACTGAGAACTTTATAAGGAAAATTAGGAGAATTTATGCTTAATAAGCAAACAAACTAGAAATCATAAGGGAGTTGAAAAAATAAACATAGTAAATACCCATAGAATCTGGTACTCTTTATGAGCCCTAAAATGCAAACAAAGTAACAGATAGGATTTATAAAGGGCTTGACAGAGGGTGAACCAGAAAAATTTGCTATTCCAGAGGAGATTCACCATGTTCAAGAAAGGGGAGTACTTAAAAGAAATGCAGTAGCAGAAGGACACAGAAATATTAAATATGAACAAATGAAAATGCTATCATGCAAATAGTAGCTAGTATTATATTAGTCTAACTAAATTAATATCAGACAAGATAAAACATTAAAACAGAGAAACACATTATTTAACAAAATTAATTCAGAGGAAGAAAGCCTACGTAGGATTCACAAGAGCAGAAAGTAAAGATATCTTTCAAAGCCAAACCAAAAACACCAAAAACTTCCCAATGAAAACAAAATCCATGGCCAGATATACTTCCTGAAGAGTTCTACCAAACAATCAAAGAAAAGCTGACATAAATTCTCCTCAAATGCTTCCAGTACATAGGAAAGGAGGTAATATGCAGTAATGTGTTCTATGGAGTCAACATAACCCTGATACCAACGTCAAGTAAACATAGCAGAGAAAAAGAAAAATTAAGATCAATATTTGTAATGAATATAGATTTTGACATTAGAGTTCTCACCATAATTCTAGTCAACAAAATTCCACAACATATCAATAAAATAATATATCAAGATCAGGCTAAATTCATATCAGGTATACAAGGGTGGTTAGTCATTAGAAAATCAAAGACCATAATTCATGTTAAAAAATAAAACAAAGAAAAATAAGGACATTATCATCTTGATTAAGGCAGAAAAAGGCTTTTGAGAAAATTCTCTGCAAAATAAGAAAAAATTTCTCAACAAAATAGGGCATATAAGCAAACAAGAATAAACATTACTTTCAACTGAAATGGACTGAAAACATTCCCTCTGACAACAGGACAAAGATAATAGGTGCATTAAATTTATTCTGTTAAAATTGCTGGTGGTAGTTTCCATTTACTAAATTAGTACTGAATGCTAAAGAATTGCTTGTTTGTGGATTAATTTTTACACACATTTTCCTTCAACCCAGTGTTAACCGTCTGAAAATAGAAAATGAGAGGTTAATAATCCATCCATTTTGGAACCATCACAAGTAAGAACAAAATGAGTTCTGATTAATTGTGATGATGTAGGGAGTGAATCAAGTGTCTTGAGAGCCTAAGTCAAACTGGACTTAATTCCGTAGGTAGTAATGAAGATTACAGGAACTATGGTGTGCAATTAATTTTTCTAAGTACATGGGAACACAGGGTATATAGTACTTTGATTGTCCAACCAAGTTAAAGGAATGAATTGCCTGATTTATCCCTATTGAATTAACCTATAGTGACCACATACACAGAGATCAGATGAATCATGGAGAGTGGCATAAACTATATTGAAATTAATCAAGTACTTTCTTAGATGTAAAATCTGAAGTAAATAAATATAAGCTCCTGATTTTGATCCTAATAGTATATGATTCCTCAACTCTGACATAATTTATACCACATAGATCTAGATCATTTTGGTACTTCACACTATTAGATATGATCATCTGGAATTAGAAAATACTTTAGATGAATATGTAAATTATAGGTGAAATAGAAAGTTTGAGATAAACTCCAAATAAATTAGCAGTCTACTCCCTCTGTGTGATTTCTGGGGATTTCTATGATCAGGAGCATCATCTGGAAGGGAGGGAGTAAGGAAGGGGTAAAGAAAGGAAGGAAGGGAGGAAGGAAGAGATAAATGCATAGCACAATATACCATGTTTGAGTGTGCTACTCTAATCCATCTGCCAAATCACCAACTTAAATGTGGAAATAAATGGTTCTTATATTTCTAGTGCAAGCTTAGAAATTCTGTGGGCCTTGTGACTCAGTGAATCCAATAGCACTCAATGTGTCTGTGGTAAAAGAAGAGCTCTTCTGTGAGGACTCCAACAAGCAACAAAAGAAGAATCACAGTAAATTCTCTAGTAATAAACACTGCCTATTTACCCATCTACCTCTAAAGCTATGTATCTCATGAACATCTAACACCAGAGGGCTTGCACTACTCCGACTTCAAAAGTCTTTTCTGTAAGAGAAAGGAACTTGGGTTCTATTTTCCAAATTGAATTTATTTATTTACTTATTTGCTCAATTTGACTTACATTTCACATTAAATAGGTTCAGAATGTCTAATCTACATAACTGTGGAAAATTAAATTTATAATCAAGTTTAGTAGTTGATATTATGTTTGGTCTTTAGTTTAAGTGTATATAATCAACATATTGATTGTATAATTTATTATGTGAAGTATAAGATGCTTATAAAAGTAAAAACTATGCAAAAACATATACTCTGAACTATATTATACGTTTTCATTTCCTGTCTATCTTCATACTCTTGAAGTTTTTTATATTCATTCAGCATACCCTTGAGTCTACCTTTCACTATTTTTTGTTATATCTTTCGTATTTTCTTAGTAACTAAAGTCATGCAAGTTTTCAGAGTTCTGTTTTACTTAAATGAGGAACACCACATTTTATTATTGTAATACATATGATTCATTCAGCTTAGACAATAATCAATATCCATCGAAACATCAGTCGAGAACTCAAATGTAATACTGTATTAGTCAAACTGTTGCAAGAGGCCAATATGAAGTTTAAAGACCAAGAATGTCATTTTCATAACTAAAACATGCCTATCCCAAGGCATAGAATTTTAAGGGACATACAAAAAAATCCATAGAAAGATGAAATGAAAAGATTATGGGATTTTTACATGAACTTTTTGAAGCTCCTCCCACATATAAAATTTTTTCTAACGAAAAAGGAAGACTGAAGAAGAATGATTGCCTCTGAAATGTGAGGCTATAAAGAATATTGTGTATACATTGGAATGCCAAAAGAAGTTGCGCTTACAAGAAAGAGAGTGAAGATGCTTCTTCTTTTTTTTTTTTTTTTTACTTCTCACTTTCCTTTTTTTTTTTTTTAACATTTTATTAGGGGAAGATGCTTCTTAACGGTGAGGATAAAAAGACTTTGACATGCATATTTTCTATATATAACCAGGAAAGCATTTTTCAAAATGTGTATCATGTTTGGTAGCTAAGGGTCAATAAAAACCAGGGAAACTCTTGCATTGACACAACAGCGACAATGAACTCAGACCTTACCAAAGGTTATGAAGATGGTGTGCCACCCGGCAAGGTTTTGTCATCTTAGAAATAAGTTTCTTTGTGAGAGCTAACTTTCCAGTCAATGACAGCAGTACATCTACACATGTGTCATTGTGTGAGGTAAGAATCTTTCGAATTCGTAATGAATCTAATGGCACGTATTGACTATCTCTGTCACTCATCAATTCTAAACATATATGGTTTCCTTTAAAAGAGCTTTATTCTCTTCGGCCTTTCTTGTTTTTCTCCTAAGCTGCCATCTCGCTGGTCCCTGACTCATGGTGCCCAGGGCACAGTCACATCAGGTCACCAGACTCATGGCGTTTTCACTGCCTGAGTTTTGGAAGCAGATTGCCAGGATTTTCCTTCTGGTCTAGAACTTATTAAATCTTATTTTTATGTACATTTTAAAATTTTTAGCCTTTCATTTTCAATAATGATGAACTTAAGGTTGTTTCTTTTCTTCTCACTGTAGTTGCCGACGTTTCCCACAGTTTTTTTTTTCTTTTTTAACATTTTATTAGGGGCTCATACAACTGTTATCCCAATCCATACACACATCAATTGTGTAAAGCACATTTGTACATCGTTTCTCAAAACATTTTCTCTCCATTTAAACCCCCGACATTAGGTCCTCATTTTTCCCCTCCCTCCTCACTCCCCCCTCCCACATGAGCCCTTGATAGTTTATAAATGGGTATTTTGTCATATCTTGCCCTGTCCGACGTCTCCCTTCATCCACTTTTTGGTTGTCTGTCCCCCAGGGAGGAGGTCACAGTTTTGTTTGGGAGTATTTTTCTAAGAATTTAAATTTTGTATTTAATTTACTTTAAATAATAATGCTTTAAATTCAAACTCAAATTTCCTCTTTATGTAATTTGCATTTGAGGCTATAATTAAAAATAAAGTTGTAATTTAGGACTTGCTAAAGTTTATTTTCTTAAAAAATTATAACAAATTTTTGAAAAAATACTTTGGAGATTATATACATGCTTAACTCTATCTATCTGTCTATGTATCTACTGCAATTATTTAGCACCAGTTTTTCATCTTTGAAATCTCTTCTACTCTGAAATAGGAATGTAAAATTTCTCTTTCAAATTTCATGTAGCATGTATTTTCTTTGTTAGTATTTTCTTTGTTTACAGATATAGAATCTCCATTGTTTTGTTACATAAATGAGGATTTTTATCTTCCTCATAAGTCAAGTCTTTCATCATTACACTCTGTATTCTTTTGGTTTTTACCTTTACATTCTTGTTTATGATATTAGTATAATAGTATCATTATTACACCATCATTGCTTTGTATTTGTTTTATATTGCCCTGATCCATATTTGATAGTCTTTCATCTTTTACAACTTCGTGTAACCCTGTTTCATAGAAACCACTGACAACTTAATTTACTTATTAAGAACATTTGGAAAGTTTTATTTTTTTCCTAGTAGATTCAGCTCTTCCCCAGTCACACAGATATACTAATTTTTACCATTACTCTTATGCCCTGCTTACTATTCATTTTACTTGTTTATTGCTCACTTTATTTTTCTTATATTCTGTGTTTTATCCACATCCTTTTATTTCATTATATGAAAAAAAATCGTCTTCCAGCAGTTCCCACTATGGTCACCCATGTGTACCCGGGTGGAACCACATTCCACAGTATGACTGATTCATCTTCCTGGAGTATGCTCACCAGTCATTTCTACACAAGCTCCTCTGCATGGACTCGAACCTCGAAGCTTTGTTTAGCTACAAAGCTCATTAAGCAGTACCATGCAAGTTCTCCATGCATTTCAATCAACTCCCTCCATTTCTGTCCTCCCTGCATTTTACATTATCTTATCCCCATTTTGTATTTCATTGTAAATCATCAAAGTTAGTGCTTTGTTATTTTCAGGACTCCAAATCCTTAACCCATTCTTTTCTTTCTGAAGAAAAAACAAAGAAACAAAAACAGAAAACAAAACTTTGATTTGCTGCCTTTCCCACTCTGGTGTTTATGCAAGAATCAGTGGTTTTTAACTGGGGTCAATTTTTCAAGATGTGGGGAGAGGAAGAGTATCAGTTACTGCCATGAAAAATTGTTCTCAGGTCATCCCAATCCAACAGACACACCTACAGAGTGATAAAGAAACCTTAGTGGAAATTCAAGTGAAGAAGGATGAGGGGGGCAAGTATGTCTTAGAGAAAGCAATGAATTTTGGCTTGGTAGGAAAATGGAGAAGAGCAACCTCCCATTGGGGAAAAATTCTTAACAATACTTACATAGAACTCAATGGGAGATTACACATGGAACTAAGTTCCTCATTAGACACTTCTGACCTAATTTCAATGAAGCCTTTAATGACCCAGACTATGTGCTATAGACTACTAGTGTTTTAGCCTTCGAGGTACACAACATGCTACATAGGCTACACTAGAAAGACTAGATGTGGAAACTGAACTAAGTGAACCTGGGCTTTACCTCAAATCCACCTATTGCCCTTTCACTTAAGGCTGAAATTCTGAAGAGTGAGAAAGAAGTAGATGACTGCTAAATCCAGGACACAGAACTGGCCATCATTGGACTTTGGTTTGAATCTCTTGCCTGAGGGTGCCCAATGAATGGTGGCTCAGAACTAACATATAACTATTATTTTAATGCCCTCCTTCTTTTATTATAACAGGAAAGGCATGGTAGATAGTAATATTTTAAGCATGGCTTTACTATTGTGAATGAATATTATGAAAATTTTGCCCTATAAGCAACCCCACTGTTTGCGCAAATAGTGTCCAGTCACTTAAGAATTTAATCTGTACAAATCAACAATTCATGTATTATGGTTCATAGTTGGCCTATACTTGTATAAGTTCCTTTTCCCAACAGTGTTTTAAATTCTGTATCACAGACTAAGCTAATGACACTATCAATGTCTAGTGGTTGCACATTGAACTGCTAACTTCAATGGCAGCACTTCAAAACCACCAGCCAACTCCAAGGAGGAAATGAAGCTTTCTACTCTGATGAAGGTTTTCCATCTCACAGACCCACAGGGGCAATTATGCGCTGACCTATAGGGTTGCTATGAGTCAGCATTAACTCAATGGGGGGGGGGGAGAGGGCGGTGGAGTGATGTCCTAGGGGGATGACCGATAATGTTACACTGTATTATAAAATGACAATAATATTTCCAAGGTGAACCAGAGACATATATAAATCATACATATATGAATGGATTTTGGACTTGCACTTAATTATATCCCTAATCTAAGAACACTTAGCTCTTATGACATGGCTCTGCTTGATACTCACCTTCTTTAAAAGTTCGCTGAATACATGAGTGGTACAGCAATGTGTGGGGAAGAAACTGGATGGTGTCAGCTATCAGAAAGAATAGCATCTTGGGCCTTAAAGGTTACCTTCAAGCAAGCAGTTATCTAAGTGGAAGTCAACTGAGTCCACATGGAAGAAGCACATCAATATGTGTGATCCAAGGATTATAAATAATAAAATCCAAATTCATAGGCGGGAACAATATCAGAGCTTAAATTAAGAACACCAGGTTTACTGAAGGTTATGGATGACAGTGGAGCCCCAGATTCATTTACAGGATCCCCATATGGATTAAACCTCCAATGAATCCCCTCTGATCATAGACAAGGGAAGTGAATAGCCTTGCTATCAGAGAGCATTGTAAAGTCCATTATGATGTTGTTAGGCTAAAATTCAATACATTATCATTTGATCTCCATTTTGATCCATTTAAAAATTGTTTCAGTCTTAGTGTTTTTGTTGTTTTCCTGAAGTGCAGGGTAAATACATGTTGGTCAAGGCCCTAGTGAATCCTATTCTGACCATGGACCAGGGATGTGAACACCCTTGCTGTCATGCACAATGCATTGGAAAGTGGATTATTGCAGATGCGGTTAAGTTAAAATTTAACACCTTATTATTTGATCTCCTCTATGATCCGCTTAAATTTTATCCCAGTTTTTAGTATTTTCTGCTTTCTTTCCTATTGAGGGCTTTCTCTGTTTTACTTTGTTTTTGTGGTTAGCTTAAAAAAAATGTTTTTCTGTGTGTGCAATCCAGGATAGATAAATCAAGAGAGGCAATAACTGGATTAATGGTTCCTTAGGGATAGGTGGGGGGCGGGTGGAGGCACGGGGTTGTGGGGAAATGAAGTGCTAATAACGATGAGTACAAGAAAGAAGAAAATTTCTACAATTGATTTTGGTGATAAACTATACAACACTTCTTGATGTGCTTGAACTACTGAATGGTATGATGTGTGAATTATATGCAAACGAACAGTTGTGTGTGTGCTTTTTGAAATAATCAGTTGCTGGATTCAGGGCACCCACTAAAATACCCTTGAGTTCCCTCCTAGTTGATGTTCAACTAATAAACAGATTTTAACACTTGGACTTCCAACCCAATTCAGCTCTTTGAAGCAGTTTGAACCCACCTTCCTCCTCAACATCAGGGACTATCAAACATTATGAAACCTTAGTACGTACCATTTTTATTTAAAGCTTTGACGGTGTTTTGCATTAAAAGATGGACAAATACAGTATAAAACACCACTAGTAAATTTTCATGATCATATTTCTCAGTAAGTACAACATAATATTTTGTTCACCTTATGATGCAGCATGCCATGCTAAGTTCATATTATTCTCTTTATTTGAAATGCATTTCTAGATTGCTTCTACATTCTTTACTTAAAATGCCTATTTTTAATGTCAGTTATAATACAAATTTCAAAGCTAATATCTGTTTTGGGTTATTCTATATATTCTTACTGAAGAAGCATTTGCCACATTATAGTGTACTTATATCTAGAATTGCTTATTGAGTTTTCATGTACATTTTATACAATTCATGACTAATTGAGTCATAATGTTAAAGAGGAATGAATATTTCACTTTGCTTTTAGCATAACTTTTGTGTATGTTAAGAATCTTGTAAACTTTGTTGTCCTTTTATTTTTATATGACAAAAATATTATTCACCAAAGTTCTCCATATGTGTTTACTATATGCAGTATTTGTCAAAAATTTTAATATAGAAAATTCTGGTAGGAAAAACATTCTTTAAGAAAGCAATTTCAATAAAGACTTATTTTAATTGGAATCTAAAATGCGCCAGAAAATATTATCTCTACTCAAAACCAACCATAAAAATGTAACAAGAATGAGACTTACCAATCCTTGGAGATAATTTCTTCATCTAAATTTATGTACGTTTCTTTATCCTCTTGGGGAGGTAATCCCAGCCAATACACTGCTTTTAATTTCATGGATTTTATAAATTCCTACAAGAAATAGAGATGGTTTCTTTAAATTTTGAAACACTATAATGTACCTTATTTCATAACAAACTGGATTACATATTACTATTTTAAGGTAATATTTTATACAATGCACTACTACTTTTCAACACCATTAAAAAGAATGGAAAGAAATGGCTTGTTTTCAACACTGTCTCCACTTATGAATGGTGGAGGGGTCCCTAAGGTTATTTCGAAGGGCAAACACAAGACTCCTGACACTGAACACTAATGGCAGCAGATTCTTCATTACATATTCTGCCAGCTCTGGAAAGAATGATATCACACGCTATGCAGGCCACAAAGAGATTGCATATTGAAAAGAGTGAATAGGGTGGAGCCAGGGGAAGCAGTCTCTTTTGTATCAAAAGTGTGAAGTGACTCTTAGTTCCTATGACAGGCATAATAATCACGTTTGAATAATTCTACAGATTGACAGTGAATTGAAGCAGGTCCACTCAGGAACTTTGATATGTAGCACTGTTTGGCTAGTGGACTTTATATGTAGGAGTGAGGAAAGGGGCTTGCAGTCAGACCATTTAAGTCCCCTTTTACGATACCACCCCAAGAAATTAAAGCAGCATATATTTTTGAATATTATTTTTGTTTTACTTCTCACTGTTTATTATTATAAAATTTTCTCTAGAATTAAAAAAAATTAGCACCTAACAACATCAACAACAATTTAATCAATATACAGATCAAAACCGTTTTATAATTAAAATTCATGGAATTCACATTGATGAATAATTACATTAAAACATAACTACTTAGATATTATTAAAAAGTTAGTATCCATGATCTTTCTTTAAAAAAAAATCATTTTATTGAGGGCTCATACAATGCTTATTACAATCCACACATACATTCATGGTGTCAAGCACATTTGTACATTTGTTGCCATCATCATTCCCAAAACACCTGCATTGTACTTGAGCCCTTGGTTTCAGCTTCTCATTTTTCCCCTCCCCCCTCCCTCATGAATCCTTGATAACTTATAAATTATTATTATTTTGTCATATATTTCACTACCCAATGTCTCCCTTCACCCACTTTTCTGTTGTCCATCCTTCAGGGAGGAGGTTATATGTAGATCCTTGTAATTGGTTCTCCCTTTCTCCCTCACCATCCCTCCACCCTCCTGGTATTGGCACTCTTGGCACTGGTCCTAAGAGGTTCCTCTGTCCTGGATTCCCTGTGTTTCCAGTTTCTTTATGTACCAGTGTACATCCTCTGGTCTAGTTGGACTTGTAAGGTAGAATTGGGATCATGATAGTGGCGAGGAGGAAGCATTTAGGAACTAGAGGAAAGTTGTATGTTTCATCGTTGCTACCCTGCACACTGACTGGCTCATCTCCTCCCTGTGACCCTTCTGTAAGGGTTTGTCCAGTTGCCCACATATGGGTCTTGAGTCCCCAGTCTGCACTCCCCCTCATTCACAATGATATAATTTTTTTGTTCCTTGATGCCTGGTACCCGATCCCTTTGACATCTCATCCATCAGGATCAGGTAGGAATCACCCCTGGGATGGAGGGATGGTTTAACATCTGAAAATCCATCAATATTATGCACCACATTGATAAGAAAAAGTGTAATAAAAAAGAAAAAGTGAAAGGACCACATGATAATATCTATAGATGCAGAAAAAGCATTTGACCACATCCAGCACCCATTCCTAATTAAGATGCTCAAGAGGATAGAAATGGAAGGGTAGTTCCTCAAGTTAATACAAGCTATCTATGAAAAGCCGACAGCTAACATAATAGTCAATGGAGAAAAGATGAAATCAATCGCTGAAAAATGGGACTAGACAAGGATGTCCTTTGTCCGCACTTCTATTCAATATCATACTGGAGGTCCTAACTAATAACAGAAGACAATGGAAGGACATCAAAGGTATCCAATTAATGGTGAAATTATCATTATTTGTAGATGAAATGATTCTGTACATTGAAAATCCCTAAAGTTCCACAACCGGAGTACTGACAGCGATAGAGGAATATGAAGAGTGGCAGGATTCAAGATTAACAAACAGAAGTCGATTGGTTTGCTATGTACATTGGACAAGACCATGGAAGAGGAAATCAAGAAGGTAGTACCATTCACAATTACCAAGAACAAATTGAAATATCTAGGGATATATCTAACAAAAAAAACCCCAAAAGACATATACAAGGAAAATTACAAGACCCTACTACAGAAAACCAAAAACGACATCCACAAATGGAGGAATGTCCCATGCTCATGGATCGGAAGACTCAATATAGTAAAGATGTCTATCTTACCCACGGTACTTCCCTAGAATTTTAATAACATCAAACACTATCTCAAATTAAGAAAAGATCTAGCATTGTACTCAGAACTATATGCTAGTGTCGTGGTATACTGTCAAGTCTATTTTGATTCATAATGGCCCTGTAGGAGAGAATATAAGAGCTCTATATTGCTCTATATAAGAGCTCTATATTGCCTAGCTCTATATTGCTAGGCATTCATTTTTACAGAGGAAGATTTCTAAGTGTGGTGAATTTGAACCATTATCCTTTGTAGTAGCAATCAAGTGTATAACCATTGTGCGACCAGGGCTTCTTAATGTTAAATTAGAGTCAATCAAAAACTCACTAGTTGAAGATTAAAATGTTTGAGTAGCAAACTTTTAGTCTATGGCAAAAGAGGTAGTTAATGACTAAAATGACTTAAAAATATATAAAAAGAATGGGAGAAAAGTGCGGCAAAATTAGATGAGAGAGACTAAAATTCAGAATAATTTCAGAAATGTGTATTTGAATAAAAATATTTTCTACTTCTAAACTTTTCTTATTTTAAAATAAAGAATTGAGTGTGTGATTTGAGAATGAGTACGAGAGAAGAGATGATAGATTACTTTCTCATTTTTTTATGAAGACTGATCAAGTGTCTTGTAACAGGGAAACAGAAACTCATAGGAAAATATACATGCACTTAAGTAAGATATATTTATTTTCTGACAGACCATAGAATAACAAGAAAAATATGAAATATTCAGACAAAAGAAAAACATGAAGTAAACAGTAAATAATATTACCAAAGATTCACTTTTTTACCTGAGGCTTCAGGGTCCATTGCAATATATATACGCTTTACATTTGACATTTCTATTCCATCTTAACGTTATAAACATACATACATATTTTTATGACCTTTTCTAGCAATTGGTCTTTCCTGATTAGATGTCCAAAGTAAATGATCCAAAGCCTTGCCATCCTATTTTGTTTTTTTATGTAACCATTTTATTGACATATAATTCACAACCAAATAATTCAATGGTTTAAAGATATTAAAAATAGTTACTTAATAATCAACAGAATTAATATTAGATCTTTTATTCTTGTAGTTTTATTATTAGCTCCCCATTTCTCCATGGCCTTCCTTCTTATGACCCTAAGGGTCTATTAATCTACTTACTGTCTCTACAGGTTTACCTATCCTTTATTTCAAATCAAGAATGTCATATCCCCCAAAATATCTCCAACAATAACAATAAAATAAAGCTCAGGAAAGCCTCAATCTGAAAGAAAGCTGAAAGTATTAAAAACTAGAGCAAGTTACAAATGGTTCAAAAAGAAAAGTAAAGAGTAAGATATTGAATTTTAGCCTTACTGCTTTCCAGTGTACTCTCTCTTAGGACAAGTCCATTTACATTTTGATCAATAGTCTGAGGGAGCTCAGTGGAGGCTAAATCCTGTGGGGACTCTATAAATAGATTTTAGCTTTTCACTGTCATTCTTAGCTTTCTGAAAACTGGGTGCTCAAAATTTAAAATCTAGTACAATTCTCTCCTCTAGTTTTGGATTTTATTATTTAAAATCCTTGGATCACATGCATTAGTGTGCTCTTTCCATGTGGACTTAGCTTAAATCTTGCTCTGATGGCTGCTTGTTTTAAGAGAAGCTTTCCCTGTGCTATACTTTTCCTGATGGCCTGGCACCATCTGATGTTTTCGTCACAATCTGTTACAGTAACCATATCTTCAGTGATCACTTCATAAATGAAAGTACTAAGCAGAGCCATATCATAAGAAATAATTTTTCTTATATTAGGGCTAATGATTAGATGTAAGCTCAAAATCCACTCACATACCTAAGTTTTATATATCTTTCTGGTCCACTAAAAGCAGCCTTATCAGATTCTTTAGAAATAAAACAGGTAATCAATTGTATGAAGCATATTTGTAAATATGTTGCCATCATCATTTTCTAAACATTTACTTTCTATTTGAGCCCTTGTTATCAAATCCTCTTTTTTTCCTCCCTGCCCCTCCTCCCACCCTGGTGACCCCTTGATAAATTATAAATTATTATTGTTCTCATATCTCATACTGACCACTGTTATAAGTGTTGTAAGAACCCCAAATAAAATGATTTACAAAAAATAGGTAACCTTCATGGGACACTTGGTAGTTCTATTGTTAATCTAGCCAATGGTATAGAATTTAAAATATTAGTGAGAAAGTAAAACTATATATACATAGGAAAGCTAACTGGACTAAAATGCATGTAATTTTCACTTATACCGATTAGAAATTGTAGTGACTGAACACTACTTAAGTTACAATGAGGGTTAGACACAGAAACAGAAATTTCTGATAGTGCTCATTCATTAAGGCAAAACTAGGGAAGCAGAGCAAATACATGCCACAACCATGTGCAAATAGAAAATTTATATTAGTATTAAGAGATCCTAGCTTCTAAAGTACATTCTGGTTTTATTTCTTCTAAGATTGATCATGTTTGGTAAGATAAGGGGATGGCCAATATGCAAAGATAAATACCTCAATGAGATAAATGACACTGTAGCCATGGGAATCAACTCAAACACACCAATAATCATATAGGTGGTACCAAACCATGGACAATTTTATTCACTTATACATACTGCTGTCATGAATCAGAGACAATTCAATGGCCTAAAGCAACAATAGATATTTTATTCAAACCATCAGGCTATTATAGGATGCTTGGGTTTTTCCTCTTAATTGAAAATAAATAAATAAATGGGGAGAGGAAAAAAAAGGATCCCCTTCAGTACAGATTTTCTGAAATTAATAACCTCTAGGAGTAATAGGCAGATAAATGTTCAGAAGTCATGGTGTGAGTTTGGTTCCAAACTTGCAGTTTGAGAATGTCCACATTGGGTGCCCTGTATCTACTCCTACTCAACAGAACCTACAACTCCATAAACCTTAAGATTCTAAAGAAGCATATGGCTTATTTGAGCGTAACATCCAAAGACAAGTCCCTTCATACCCAGTAAAAATGAGGAATTATCATATTGGGTTGACATAGCTCTCCCTGAAATTATCCCATCACCTTCTATAGGGCAGAGAGCTATGGGGTCTTACCAAAACACTTTTAGACTTAATCTTCAAGAGGCTTGCATTATGAGAAGAACATTTTATTTCACTGTTTTCCCATGTTTCCTTAACATCAAATAAACTATAACAGGTGTCCTCATGCCACTTCCATTTCTCCGGACAAGGTTTACATTTGTGCTCTGGAAGAACAACATAGTTTCATTTCATCTCTATTTTTATTCCAAATAATTCTTATTATCTTACTTATCTGTAATTAATTGACTAAATTTACTTGTATTTTGTATTTTTATATCAAAAAAGTAAACAAATTAATCATATATTTTAGATCCTTATCTTCTACCAAGGAATTACTAGATGAAGTAAACACTGAAATTTCTTGGCTTCTTGTAGAAAGGTTGGAAATTCAGTTTCACTTAGAATCCCCTTGTGGAATAGGCCTACTGATCTACTTTTCAACAAGAAGCCTCTGAAAGTCCTGGGGTGCACATTTATACTCTGACCCACATTTGGTAACCATGAGTCAAATTTACATGATAGCAACTTGTTACCTATTACAGTGAGTGTACTATATAACTAGAACAATGTAATTCAAGTTACGCATCTTGATTCCTGTCTAGTGTATCTTTGTAGTTCAGAAATCTTTCACAATGATTTATTAATTTTCCTCTCCCTAATCACAGGAAGCCTTTATATATGGGGAGAACAATAGTATATACTTATATCAGTCCTGCCTTCTCTTATAATGGGGATATCTCAATAGGTCAATATCTGAGTTGATGGATATTTCAGACACTTCTCAGGAGCTCAGGCAGCTCATAAGGCCAATGTTCACAATTACAAATGTCATCCCCAACTTTTCCCCACTCTCAAGTATATTTCTAAGCAGCCATTAAATAAAATTTAGGAACTGAGTCAGTGATATATTAATATCATCTTAAGACTATTTTATATTCATCTCAGAGCCCCAGATTAATAGTAGTAAATGTAAGATTGGAGAAATTGCATCCTGTGAAAATAGTAGGATCAGTCTCATCCATCATGTCTAACGTTTTACTGAGTAACTCACTTCTTGATACTTGGGGCCGAGTTACTATCTCTCTTTCTGCTTGTCTTACAACTGCCAACTCCAAGTATCAATGAGTCCTCTGTCAATCATATGAGGTGACTTCAAAAGTTTCAGAGAAAAATGTAATTAAAATATAACAATTTTTCTGTGAACATTTTGAAGCTTCTTCGCATTTAATTTCCTCATTCAACTAAAGGATAGTGGTTATCACTATCAATGAAATGGTTTGCAGATGACTGTAAGGTTTAGTTCATGGCCTAAAAATTCAGAAAGGAATGCAAAACTACCTTCTTGCGTCTTTACACGCTCGCGGCATAATTCAGTGATGATGTTTTGCAGTGAGGTGGAGATGATCATGAGCTCCTTGGACATATTGATGCTACTCATCTGTTGTAGAGAAACATTTCTCTGAAGTTCTTCTGCTTGATTTTGAAGGCTGTTCCATCTTTCCATTTCTATTTTCAAAGTTCTGTGGACTTCAAATAAAAAATCAGGGTTGAAAATTTAATAAAATATTTTCATGCTGCAATATAATCACCATCTTCTTTTGGCATCAATAAAAATAGAGAAGACTAAAGAATTAGGAAATACGTTATTCTATTCATAAGTCCTTTTGGGGTATAACATCTATAACAAGGATAAAATGTTAAATCAAAGATGATATTTTGATTATAAAATTCATTCGAATCTAGGTACCACGCAGGAGTAATACATACATATGCTTCCTAAGGTTCCAAATCCAATCAGCAGGAGAAGGCTTAGAAGAGTCAGGGCCAATTTCATTTGATGCCTTACACAGAATGGAGCAGAGGGCGCTATGGAGAACAAAATTGATTAAAAGGTCTGTAAATAGCATATATCTTAATGGAACTGATTTATTTCATTTTGTCTTTTAACATACATTTCTTATAAAGCAATACGATTTTATTAAAAATACAGGGACATTTTAAAAATCTTTTGGTGAATAAGTCAAGACCCAGTAAAAAATGTTAGCTGTGTAGTGTGCATGAAAATTAGGTCTCACAGGAGATTCAGGAAAATGGTAGGCTGTTGACGACGAGATTCCCACTCAGAGCAGCCAATCTACAGAGAAGGCCATGTGGCCGGCCCCACTATAAGACACTACATCCCTCACTGACCCATAGCCCTACAGGGGACAACACCGGATACACAGTGTGGGAATTCTGCCCAATCTGATCCCACCACACCGAGGCAAAGCACTAAGGGCATGGAACAGAATAGCAAGGGGAACAGAGCAATGAAGTCCCCAAGGAATATCAAAAATAGACTTTGGGGCCAGGGCTTGGTGCCCCATCAGACTAGACCAGAAAACACTCCTAAAGAGCAACAAACAGTCCTTGAACTAACTACAAGCTTTTCTTTCTTGTTGTTGTGTTTTGTTTTGTCTTGTTGACATTGGCTTGTTGGTGTTGTTGCTGTTGTTTTGTTTTATTTTGTTGCTTTGTTTTTTTCTGTCTTGTTTTTTTGCATGTTGTTATCTCCGCAGGTCTGTCTAAATAAAATAGGCTGGATGAACAATCTGGAGGAGAAAACAACGGGACCGACAGTTCTCGGGGGACATGGGAGAGGGGGAGGTGGGGGGAAAGGAAGGGGTATTAAGAAACCCAGGGACAATGGGACAATAAGTGAGGAGGCTGGAGGAGGCCTGGTAGGGCATGACCAAGGGTAATGTAACCGAGAGGAATTATTGAAACCCACAATTCAATCCTTAACTCACTCCTTTCTTCTCTTTCTCTCTTTTTTTAAGCATCAAATCTTTATCAAATAATGAAGCCCTAATATATGTATGCTATTAAAAATAAGAATTATATATTATGAATGAATCATTATTAACTCATTTAATTAGATAACTTCATTATGTATACATGTAAAACCTATATATTACAAGGCAATATAATTTCAAGACAGCTTAATTTTAATATATGACCTTTTATGCCCTTCAACTTACCTAGTGGCATGATAATATTGTGAAAAACAGAGGGATCAATAATAAAATGTGAAAATGTGTTTCTGTTTTGGAAATTAGTAGTAAAATAACTACTTTTGAGACTTTTTGTCAAGTTAGAACAATTATTTCATATGCTATATTTATTTTGAATTGTTTTCTCGTTTATTTATGAATTAAGTTATTCAAAAACTAGCTATTGAAGAATTCTATACACCAGACACTTCTGAGTACTTGCAATATAAAAGTAAGTAAAACACACAAGTTCCTGCTCTCAGAGAAGTTAAATTTTAATTGTGAAAGAAAAAAAATACTTTTGGCATTTCTCAAGCTGAAAAACTGAAGAAAAAATTCAAGCCTTGTGTGGCAATACTAAATGATTCGATAAACAAGATATTGAATGACACAGAAGTGTCAAAAGAAGATGAAAACAACAGAGTCCCTAATTCAAACAGAATGGGTCAGTTTAAGCATGTCAGGAGGTAGTATATGATCAAGAATGAATGGTATTGAAGCAAGAAATCCAGATTACATTGAATGTATCAGTGCAAAACTAGGTTCCAGAAATTGATGCGATGTAAATTACATGTTTTAATGAACAGATGCAATACTGGGATTGCTCACTGTTCTATTCCAAGAACTTGATGAGAGCACCATAAAACTTCCTTGCAAGACGTTGAACTACCTTACAAGACATTGAACTACCTTGCAAGACATTGAGCCACATCAAATAAACAAGCACAAGAAACTCCACTTTAAAGAAAAAAATAAAATGTAATATTGGGGCCCAGGCCAACACTTACATCAAAGAAGCCACCACAAAAATGTGAGACCCCTGATAAGACTGAGTTGAGACCTGACCGACGCCCCAAAATTAGCCAAGCCACCTAAAGCCTGGAGAAACCCGATAAGACTGGGCTGAGACCTGGCCGAAGCCCAAAAATTAGCCAAGCCACCTAAAGCCTGGAGAGACCCAATAAGACTTGACTGGGACAGTGAGAACGTCAAAGAACTGGCCAAAATGTCCATTTAAACCCAGGTAGAGACACTGACCTTTAGAGAGCTATGAACCAAGGAGACATCACCTCCTGCTCTCTCCAACTCTACCTGGGGTGAGTACACCGATGAGGCAATGCTAATTGGGACTTTGATGTTATTATGAAATATGTGAGGAATGTTGTTATTCTGCCTTTATGCTCATAGTTGTTACTCTGCCCTTATGCTTACAGTTGTTTGCCCTTAATAGTTTGAGTAATATTTTAGATTGTTTGATGTGTGTTTGCAGTGAATAAACTGAGCATTCGAAAATGTCTAAGAGCGTTAAATAATTATTGATCGCGCCGCTCATGACAGAACTTTATTTATTTATTTATTTATTACTGTTTAAAGGTTTAATTTGTTCTTTTTTTTTTTAGACTGATTTAATTATTTATTATGTCGGTTTTTGTTTTTTTGTTTTTGTTTTTTTTTTAAACATTTTATTAGGGGCTCATACAACTGTTATCCCAATCCATACACACATCAATTGTGTAAAGCGCATTTGTACATCGTTTCTCAAAACATTTTCTCTCCATTTAAACCCCCAACATTAGGTCCTCATTTTCTCCCACCCTCCCCGCTCCCCCCTCCCGCATGAGCCCTTGATAGTTTATAAATGGGTATTTCGTCATATCTTGCCCTGTCCAACATCTCCCTTCATCCACTTTTTGGTTGTCTGTCCCCCAGGGAGGAGGTCACACACAGTTCCATGTAATCGGTTCCCTCTTTCCTACCCATTCTCCCTTTACCCTCCCTGTTTTGCCACTCACACCACTGGTCCTGTAGGGCTCATCCATCCTGGATTCCCTGTATTTTCAGTTCCTATCTGTACCAGTGTACCTCCTCTGGTCTAGCCAGACTTGCAAGGTAGAATTCTAGTCATGGTAGTCGGAGCGGGGAGGAAACATTTAGGAACTAGAGGAAAGTTGTATTTCTCATCATTGTTACATCGCACCCTGACTGGCTCATCTCCTCCCCGAGACCCCTCTGCAAGGGGATCTCCAGTGGCCTACTAATGGGCTTTGGGTCTCCACTCCGCACTCCCCCCATCATTCACTATGGTAAGATTTTTTGTTCTGATGATGCCTTACACATGACAGAACTTTAGAAGAGAGGTCCCTGGCCAACTGTTTGGCAGAGAGCGATGTTTTTGCTCATCCCAAGGCAAAGTGAACCAAAAGGATGTCAAAATTACCAAACATTGCCATTTCTATCATAAGTTAGTGAAATTTTCCTGAAAGTAATTTTAAAAATGGTTTCAGCAGTCATGGACAAGGAACTACTAGAAATTCCAGCTGGATTCAGAAGAGAAAGTGGAAGAGGGGATATTACTACTAATGTGAAATAGATGTTGGTTTAAAGCAGAGAATACAAGAAAGCTGTGTCTGTGCATATGCAAATGAATTTGTCTGTTTGGATCATAATGGATTGTTTGAATCATAACGGATTATATAAAACATTACAAAGAGTGGAATTTCCAGAACACTTAATTGTGCTCAGACAGAACTTTTCATTTGGTTAAGAGGCAGTCATTTGAAAAGCACAAGGAAATATTTCATCATTTAAAACCAGGAAGAATAAACATAAGGGTTGTATCATTGCACCATACTTATTCAAACTATATGTTAAGCAAATAATACAGACAGTAGATTATAAAAAGAATGCAGTATCGAGATTAAGGAAGACTCATTAATAACCTGTGATATGCAGATGAAACAACCTTGTTTGCTGAAAGTTGAGAGGACTTACTGATGAAGATCAAGAATACAGTCTTCGGTGTGGATTACACCTGAATGTAATAGAAATAAAAATGCTCTCAACTATACCAATACGTAACTTCATGATAGAAAAAATTGAAGTTGTCAAGGATCTTATTTTACTTGGATGCACAATTAATGCCCAGGGAGCAGGAGTCAAGAAATTAAGTCATGCACTGCATTGGCCAATTATATTGGCTAAATAAAACCTCTTTAAGGCGTTAAAAAGCAAATATATCACTTTAAAACTAAGATGTCCCAGACCCAAGTCCTGGTATTCTCAATGGCCTTATATGCAGATGAAATTTTGGCAATATATATGGAAGTCAGATGAAGAACTGATACATTTGAATTACAGTGTTGCCAAAGAAATAGAATATACCATGCACTGCCAGAAGAACAATTTTGGTAGTGTAATGGATGGGTTACACATTGGGCTGCTAACCACAAGGTCAGCAGTTCTGTGGAAGAAAAAGTAAGATTTTCTTCACCCACAAAGAGTTACAATCTCAGAAAGCAACAGAGGCAGTTTGTCTCTGTCCTATATTATCTACGAGTCAGAATTCACTCAATGGCATTGAGTTGAGTGAACTAGAAGAACAAACACGTCTGCCTTGGAATAAGCAAAGCCAGAATGCTGCTTAGAAGTAAGGAACATGAGACATAGTTCAAGTATTCTGGATATGGTCTCAAGAGGAACTGGTCCTGGGAGAAGGACATCATATTTGGTAGAGGGTTAACAAAAAAGAAGTTGATTTTGAATGAGAGAGATATACCGGAGCTTTCACCATGAGCTTAAGTATAGCAAAAGCAACAGTGTAGAAATGAATGGCACAGAATCAGACAAGAAATTTGTTTTTGTGTTTTGTTTTTCTTTTCCTTGTTTTCTGCACTACATAGTGTCTTTATAAGTTAAACCCCAGTGGATCAAATCTGAAGAATGAAGTAAGAGAAAAGGCCATCAGGAGAGAGTTCTCTTGAGTTTAGATAGTATATATTATTCACCAATGGTTCTTAGCTGTTCTGGGGTGGTGAGAGGGGAGAGGGTATTAGGATTTAACCAGTAGGAGCCCTAGTGGGTGTAGTGGTTATAAGTTGAGCTGAGATCCTCATGGCCAGCAGTTCAAAACCACCAATGGCTCCTGGGGAGAAAAACTAGGCTTACTACTCAAAAACAGTTACAGCCTTGGAAACCCACACGGGCTTGCTATGAGTCAGCATTGACTTGATGGTAGTAAGTTTAAGAGTTCAGGGAAAAAATAAAGTACATTGAAGTGGGGTGTGCAAGAAAGCAATAGATCAGAGTTGATATACACTTTTTACTACATAAATTAGAATGTAATCTAAAAAATTGGGAAGTTAAACTAAATTGAGGAAGAAAAAACATGGCTTCAAGATTTCCATGTTTTAAAATAATTTCTGATTTGAGACTTGGAATAAATTATATGTTTCCAGATGTTACATTAGCAAATCTCTTATACTTGCTAACACTAAATTCACAGCAAAACTATCCAGATATGCTTTTTAAAAGTAAGGATATAAAGATAGAAAATATTTCAAATCCTTATAATCTTCTTGTTAGAAAACAAAGTATTTATTTAGAAAATAAAAAGGAAATTCACACAGAATTATTCTGTTATTTTCCTCAAGATTTAGAATGGTGATTATAAATGCATCTAAGGTCTAGCAATTCACAAGGTGATATTTCTGTTATTACTAAAGTTAGAATTTCAAATATGTTTGTGAAGGAAAAAATTTAAATAAAACTTGAGAATTATTTTGTCATTCCTATGTCCTCTTTCATTTTTTCACCAATATTTTTAAAATAGAAATATTTAATGTATCTTTGCTGTTTGAAACATTGATCAAGGCTTTATAGAGAGAATTAATAATCATTTTATGAATACTTTAAAAATTTTATATATGAACATAACTAAATTTAAATGAATACTTCAAGATGAAAGAACACCAATATCATGTCAATTCACTAATATGATGGATGCAACCTCTTCTACTACATTATACCATAGTGCAAACCTTACCTTTTTTCCCCAAGTTGCCCAACTCTTGAATATTTTCTGCCTTACTGGAGTATTGAAAATTAATATCTGCATAAGTCACTTCTTCAGACATGGATGGATATGCCAGGTAATCTCTACTCTGTAATAAATAAATAGATATATAGTTAGATAGATGATAGATAGATATAGATAGATAGATAGATGTGAGATTGAACAACTGTAAATGTTAAATCTATATGCTTAAATTTCCATTTAAAAAGTCATTGTGCTAATCACATACCCCAAAAGAAGCTACAGCCCTTCTGCATCCTCACACAAAAGCAGATAAATTGTGATGTGTTCCAAATGAGAACAAGTGTCTTCCTCCTATCGCTTCCCTTTTTCATTTTTCATGCATCATCCTTGCAAAAAACAATTTCAGTAACAGAAAAATCACTTTTGAAATTAGGTTTGGGAAATATTATTAGTGTCCTCCAATGTGGTCATGGAATATAAAATCCAAAGATAGAGATTACAGAGAGGATAAAGTCTCTGAAGTATACAGCAGGGGGCCAGCATAGATATTTCATATGGATCCTGGCTAACATTCCTACTGAGAAAGGTTGTCATTTGCAGGCAGTTCAAAAATGAAGAGATGGCATATACAGAAAGGGGAAATAGCAAGTCTCACTTTCACGCCTTGCCAAGAAAAATTAGGAAATATGTAGTTTCTGTAAGTAAGAAATATCCAAAGGGGTCTGGGACTCAGGAGCCACATCGGGGAGTAGGTACACTGATGACCAAAGTTCATATCCAAGACCTAGACAGGTTTAGTTCCAGGAAAACTGAGAATAGACTTGCCATCTCTGGACTGACTAAAGCCAGCTCTCAGCTAAACTGCAAAGGTCGGGGGTGGGGGGTAGTGGTGGGGGGTGAAGGGGGATGAGCACATCAGCTCATACAGATTTGCACTTCATCAGCTGGATTCCGCATTCTCAGACAAAGTATTAGTGTTAGGCTGAACCCTCCATATTCTTAATTTATTTTTCCATGAACTTTTTGAAGCCTCCTCATGTGCACATGTGTGTGGTTGTTATTTTTGCATTGTTCTTGTTGTTCGGTACTCTAGAGTTGGTTCCAACTCATAGTGACCCTATGTATAAGAAAACAAAACGATGTCCCGTCTTTGATATCCTCACGATTGTTGCTACCCTATTTCTCAGAAAATAAGACAGTGTCTTATATTAATTTTTGCTCCCAAAGATGCGCTAGGTCTTATTTTCAGGGGATGTCTTATTTTTCCATGAAGAAGAATATGGTACACATTTATTGTTTATTGTTTTATTAAAAGAGACCTCGCACTTCCTGTCTGCTCCGGCTGCGCTGGGGCCAATAGGGAGCTGCGTGGCGGCGCCCGATGCTACTGTCCAGAGTCCAGAACTATGGTAGCTTTGGAGGCCCTTATTTTCGGGAAGGTCTTATTTTCGGTGAGGAGGCCTTATATTTCAGGGAGAGGCAAAACTGTAAGTAGGTATTATTTTGTGGGGATGTCTTACTTTCTGGGAAACAGTATGTTGGAATCAATTGTATAAGTCATTGTGAAGGTCTTCCTTTTTTTCACTGACCTTCAACTTTACCAAGTATGATGTCCTTTTCCAGGATTGATCTCTCCAGTTGATATTTCTAAAGTGAATGAGAGGAAGTCTTTCAATCCTTGTTTCCTAGAAGCATTCTGGTAACACTGCTTCTAAGACAGCCCTGTGTTTCTTCTGGCAGTCTACAGTAATTTCAGCATACTTCACCAATACCACAATTGAAATGCACCAATTCTTCCTTGGTCTTCCTTATTTAGTGTCCAATTTTCACATGCAAACTGGCGTTGGGAAACACCATGGCTTCAGTCAAAGGGACTTAGTTCTCACAGGGATAGCCTTCCTCTTCAACACTTTAAAAGGGGTCTTATGCAGCAAATTTGCCCAATGCAATATGCCATTTGATTTCTTGACTGCTGCTTTTGTGGATATTGACTGTGGATATAAGCAAATTGAAATCCTTGATAACTTTGAGGCTTCCAGAGCTTTGGAATTGCATATGCCCAAATCTGCAATGCCCTTGCTCTTGTCCCAAGGACCAGAGGTCAGAGGCTGGCATGGAAGATACGGGATCAAGAGGAATTGAGTGAGTGTTGGCACAATGTTCATTTATTGGATTCAAGTAACAGTCTTGATGAAACTCCTCTTACAATTGATGAGGTGAGCCTATCAGTTCTTGCTATGGTGGTCGATAGGGAGGAAATGGGGTCTTCTGCCTACTAAGGGACCCATGACCTTAAAACCACACCTACTAGCAACCAGCCTTGATGGCCAGGCTCTGGTGAATACGAGGTGAACGTCCTGACACAACTGTAGCCTGAGACAAACTTAAAAGAAGTATGCCAGAGACCCAAGGACAGACTAAGCCACCTTATTAAAATGCCACATGACAATCAGTAGAATTCAAATATCCACCCCTCTGATGGTGCCTTTAAAAATAAGAACTGTTCCCCTAGTTGGGGTCCTCCTCAACTCACCAGGGGACCGACTTCCCTTTTTGAAGTGTATTTATTCTATACTCAAATAAAACTTTTGCTTGGCTCTTTTGCTGCAATGTGTATGAGGGTGAGCATGGCTTCTCTCTGTCACTGCACGAGCCACTCAGAAGGGACTCTCTAGAACTCCCAAGGACTTGGCATACCTCTGCAGGAGCCAGTGTCACAGCAGTGGCTTCATTATAGTCCATGGTGGAATAGTAAGCAGTCTAAGGTTTGCTAACTCACTGATAATTTTAACTCAATAAAATGGCAAAAAAGTTTACCATCATATGTAGAGTGATTTTTTCAATAAAATGGTAGCAGAGTAAGCCATTTTCATTAGTAAATTTTAAAGCCCAAGTGTTGAGAAACTAGCTCAAGATTACTATCAAACAGGATATGCAATCAGAGAAAGTAAAATCTAGAAAGCCCGTACAAGCATTATATACAGAAATGGTCCTTTAAAAATACCTTGCCTCTGTTCATTTCCACTCAAGTGTGGTCAAAAGCCACAGGCAATGGATAGAGAGTTTTATGAACTCAAGAAAAAAGAGGAAGCAAATGGCACAAGGAAGAGGTAAATAGATGAACTGAGAAGTTTCAATGTAAGAGTTTAAAGTTTCAATTTTGTGTGAAACTTGGTCCAATGTAAAATGTGATATTAAGAAAGGAGGTCATTGTTAATAAATAACAGAGAGTCTGACTACAAATTTTGTCAATAAAGATACCATACTCTGGGAGATAAATAATAGTTCTTGCTTTGATAAAGCTAATCTGAGATGACTGACTGGATTCATAGCTCCAGCAAGTCTTTCAGAATGAAAGTTTTATGAGAAAAAAACCCCAACTGTAGTCAATTTACTTTAAAATAATCCAACTTGTTACATAGTGATATAGAGAAAAAGCTATACACAGCAAGTAGCCATAGAGCTGTGCTCCTTATTAGCTGAAAATAAATGGAGACTAATCCATCCTCCCCAAAACACAAACCAAAGAACAGATCTATTATATATTGGACTTCATAGAAAACTAGCGATACATTTTGCTTTTTCTGAGCAATTCCTTATGCTGAGGGGCAAAAAGCCTTAGAAGGTTTATAACTAAAGCACAAGAAAACATAAACTCTACATATAGACAAGCGAAAAAAAATATGATGTAAATATTTGCTGAATTTCTACAACAACAAAAACAAAACAGAAAAGAACCCTCACTACTATCAAGTTGATTACTACACATAGCGACCCTGCAGGACAGAATAAAACTGCCCCTTTAATTTTCTGAGGGTGTAACTCTTTATGGGGACAGAGATCTTAATTATTCCATTGGGAAAAGCAGGTTAATTTGGACTGATAAACTTGCAGTTAGCAGCAACACATGTAACCAACTTACAGCACCAGTGTTCCTTTGAAATTATACGAGTATAATATCCTTTTAAATAAATATTTAAACCAAAAGAAAGTACTAATGTAAAATCTAATTCAACAGAAACATTTTAAAGGTTAAATGTGTGCACAATTTTAAAAACAGCACCATGATACACAAAGGATTTCAATATACTTACATTATAGCTTCACATTGATCAAACAGCCCCTCACCAGACAGTAGATTAATCTAAACTAATGTAATCAAACTATACAATTTCTACACTTATTAACTAAAGTTAACTAAATTATTTAAATTAACTAAAGTTAACTAAAATATTTTTAGGCATCTAAGATAACTGAGGAGGACTTACAGCACTTGCTGATAAAGATCAAAATTGCAGTTTCAGTATGGATTGCAGTTCAATGTAAAGAAGAATAAATCCTCATTACTACACCAATAGGTCACATCATGATAAATGAAGAAAAGGTTGAAGTCGTCAAGGATTTTGTCTTGCTTGGATCCACAATCAAAGATCATGGAAATAGCAGTCAAGACATAATAAGGACGCATTGTGTTATGTAAATCCACAGCACAAGACCTCTTTAGAGTATTAAAAAGTATGAATGTTACTTTGAGAATTAAGGTGGGCTTCACCCAAGCTATGGTGTGTTCCATGGCCTCATATGCATTTGAAAGTTGGACATTGAGTAAGGAAGACCAAAGAAATACAGTTCTGGGATATATATATATATATATATATATATATCAATATATATATATATATATTTCATTTCATCGACTGTCTTGGAAGAATATATATATATATATATACATACATACATACACACACACATATATACATTTCATCGACTGTCTTGGAAGAAGTACAGCCAAAGTACTCCTTAGAGGAAAGAATGACAAGACTTCACCTTTCATACTTTGGCCATATTGTCAGGAGAGACTAGTCCCTGGAGGACATCATGCTTGGTAAAGTGGAGGGGTAGTGAAAAAGAGGAAGGCTCTCAATGAGATGGATTGACACCAAGGCTGCAATGGTGGGCTCAGGCATAGGAACAATTGCAAGCATGGTGCAGGACTATGCAGTGTATCATTCTGTTGTGCATAAAGTCTCTATGGGTCTGAACCAACTCAATGGCACCTAACAACAAGATATTTACAAAATTTGCACATGTACTGGG